TAAGCCAGAAAGAGAAAGACAAACACTGTATGATCTCACTCATATGTGGAATATAAACCAACACATGGACAGAGAAAACTGTGTTGTGGTTACCAGGAGCAATGTGGGTGGGGGGTGGCCACAAGGGGTGAAGAGAAACATGTATATGGTGATGGGCAAACAAAAATGTACAACCAAAAATTTCACAATGTTATAAACTATTAAAACATCAATTAAAAAAAAAAAAAACCCTAGAAGAAAACATAGTAATACACTCTTTCACATTGGTCTTAGCAGTATCTTTTTGAATATGTCTCCTCAGGCAAGAGAAACAAAAGAAAAAAAAACAAATAGGACTACATCACGCTAAAAAGCTTCTGCTCGGCAAAGGAAACCATCAACAAAACGAAAAGACAACCTACCGACTGGGAGAAGATATGTGCAAATCATATATCCAAGAAGGGGTTAATATCCAAAAGTTATAAAGAACTCATACAACTCATCAACAAAAAACCAAACGAACCAATTGAAAAATGGGCAGATCTAAACAGACGTTTTTCCAAAGAAGATATACAGCTGTCCAACAGGCACAAGAAAAGATGCTCAACAGGGCCAGCCCCGTGGCTTAGCAGTTAAGTGCGCGCGCTCCGCTACTGGCGGCCCGGGGTTGAATCCCGGGCACGCACCGACACACCGCTTCTCCGGCCATGCTGAGGCCACATCCCACATACAGCAACTAGAAGGATGTGCAACTATGACATACAACGATCTACTGGGGCTTTGGGGAAGAAAAAAAAAAGGAGGAGGATTTGCAATAGATGTTAGCTCAGAGCCGGTCTTCCTCAGCAAAGTGGAAGATTAGCATGGATGTTAGCTCAGGGCTGATCTTCCTAAAAAAAATAAAAAAAAAAAAAAATGTTCAACATCACTAATTACTAGGGAAATGCAAATCAAAACTACAGTGAGATATCACCTCACGCCTGTCAGAATGGCTATTATTAAAAAGACAAGAAATAACAAGCATTGGAGAGGATGTGGAGAAAAGGGAAACCTCATATACTGCTGGTGGGAATGTAAATTAGTGCAGCCACTATGGAAAACAGTATGAAGATTCCTCAAAAAATTAAAAATAAAACTACCATATGATCTAGCTATTCCACTTCTGGGTATTTATCCAAAGAACACAAAAACGCTAATTCAAAAAGATATATGCACTCATTGCAGCATTATTCACAATAGCCAAGACTTGGAAACAACTTAAGTGCTCATCAACAGATGAATGCATAAAGAAGACGTGGGGGGGGGGGGGTGTATAAATACACACACACACACACACACACACACACACACACACACACACACACACACACACACATATATATAATGGAATACTACTCAGCCATAAAAAAAAAAAGATGAAATCTTGCCATTTGTGACAACATGGCTGGACCTTGAGGGTATTATGTTAAGCGAAACCAGTCAGATGAGAGAGACAAATACCGTATATTTCACTCATATGTGGAAGATAAACAAAGAAACACATAGATACAGAGAATAGACTGGTGGTTACCAAAGGGGAAGTGGAGAGGGTAGGGCAAAATGGGTAAAGGGGCACATTCGTATGGTGACAGATGGCAACTAGACTCTTGGTGAGGAACACAACGTAGTCTATACAGAAGGCGAAATATAATGATGTTCACCTGAAACTCACACAATGTTATAAATCAATGTTATCCCAATAGAAAAAAGAAAAAAAAAAGTTCACCAGGTGATTGTGACGTGCCTCTAATCCAAAACCACTATTTATATTACACTGAATACAGACTGGTTGTTTACTTGCCTCTCCCTGCCAAAAGAAGAATTAGTTAAGAGCAGATACTGTGGTTCTCCTATCACCTATGCCTAGTAGAAGAAAGCACTGAATATTAATACCAGGGGTTGGCAAAATTATACCCATAGGCCAAATCCGAACAACTGCATGATTATGTAAATAAATCATTATTGGAATACAGCCACACTCATTCATTTACATATAGTCTATGACTACTTTCAATCTACAACAGCAGATAGAAATAACTAAGACAAAGACTGCATGGCTCACAAAGCCTAAAATATTTACTTCTTGGTCCTTTACAGAAAAAGTTTGCTGACCCCTGACCTATATGGTGAATGAATAATCAGCAGTGATACTGAATGCAACTAATTTGAAAGTCAAATTAACATGTATATTAACATAGATATCTGGAGCTTTATATATGCATATGTGTGTATAATAAATGTGTGAAGAACAGCACATAAAATAATACTTGAATAAGTTCAAACTGATGATTACTCTTATTAGATGCATAGCAGCTATCATATTAGTTAATACGAAAGAAGACTTTACTATCTGTACAAACTTTTACCCACTTAGTCCCCTAAATATACTGTAATTATTGTGATTAGTTAAATACATTTCTTACAATGAACCTCTTTGGGCAAACGCATTTTCATTTCATTGGGAAGAAATCAAATAGTTTTTAGGATCTAAAGCAATGACATGGTTTTCACACAATAAATGCTACTTTGTTATGATAGTAATTCTTCACCTAACCAGCTCTCATATCTGACTTAGAACATAGCTAAGAAATTAGAAATAAAAAAGGGATACTTTTACAGTTACATCTTTTTTGCAAAATCCATACATGAAGCATATATGTGTGTGTATAAATATATATACACACATATATATACATGGAAAGATACATTTTTATATATATTTACATAAACACTTATGTTTACATATAAATATATACATTTAATTGATACTATTTATATCTGTAATATATAGACATAATATATAAAGATAATACACAACTCAGAGCCTGTTAGCTCTTTATTATACACAATTATATACATTATATCCTTAATCTGTAAAGACAATGTATAGAGATTAACTCAGAGCCTCCTGGTTCTTTTTTTTAATTGAGATATAACTGACATATAATATTATATGAGTTTCAGGTGTACAACACAATGATTCGATATTGGTTCTTAATTATACACAATCCATACAAACTTCGTATTCTAACTTCAACAGTCAATCCATATTAAAAGTACCAAATTTTAACAAGAAAAATTTTTCCCAAAAGCCAGGCTAACACACTAGAGGGGTAAGAAGTATCGGATGCCACCAGTCTTTGGATAACTTATAAACGTTTTTAAAGTCTTGCTACACAAAGTGAGTTTTCAGAATGGTGGGGGGGTCGAGGCGGGGCCTTGATTGGGGTCCCATCAGCAGAGACCTTTTTAGAAATGTGTAATCTGCATTTTAACAACATCCTCAGGTGATCTGTATGCACATTCAAACTTGAGGCCTCTTGGTCCAGAGATTAGACCAACTGAATATTGCTAAAAGAAAATACTCTGTCTAGAATTACTCTTCCCCTTCTTGCCAATCATCCAAACCCAAATGAAGGCCCAATTTCACAAAATACAGATAGTAAATTCACAATATTCACTTAAAAGATGACAATACCTTGAGCACCTGAACTTGACCTTCTGTAGTAATTTCCTTTAGCAGCTCACAAAAGGACTGACATAGACCTACTGCATACGTCTGAAATTTAATCAAAAGTCAAAATATGCATATAAATATATCTGCAATATCAAAAAGGACATAAAATTCAATTTGAGAGTCACTATAATCTATTTGAGAATTATATACTAAATGTCTAAGCATATAAAGTTTCAATTAGAACTCTTTAGAAAAAGTTTAGGAAATAAAAATATAGTTTATTGCTATACTGATTTTTATAGGAATATAAGAATATATTTATTTATAGAGCATATTTTCTGTATTAAATAACATAATTCATGGAACTGCATCACATTTGCCTTGTAGTGGGCAATGCTTATAAAGTTTTTTCCCCCTTAGTAATAGATCAATCTTAAATTTTGAAAAGATACCTCCTGATTTTAAATGAGAAACAATCAATAAGTACATAAATTTTTACAATGCAAAAACTACTACAACATACCTGTAAAAACTCTGTTGATGATAAAAAGATATAACCATTGATGATCTTAAAGCAGGTTCTGAGATTTTCTGAACTTAGTTCTGTCAAAAAAGTAATTTTTTTTAAAAAAAGAACTAATTCATTGTTCAAAATCAGTTTAAATGGAGTGATTTATTTAGAACTAAGTTATATACCCTTCTTTACAAATCTTTCCTGAGTGCTATTCAGACTACTAGTATATAGATACCTATCTAAAAACTGGCATCAATCTGTAACTTAAGGTTTTCACATATAGCTCCCACTAGTTAAAACAATTTAGAAAACAATATTAAGGCTCCCTTTTTTTCCTTTCAGAAAAGAACTACATAACCATTTGACCCAACCTTTCATTTCAAACTAAATTTTTAGTGCTAGCATGGCAAACAACATGCAATTGAATCATTTCCCCATCATATTTTAACATCTGTTTAAATAGCTTCACTCAATAAGCATTTACTGAGTGTCTAGTGCACTGGCACTGAATATGCTACCCTACTTATGAAAAAAGTCCCTATTATACTCCAAAAAATTATATTGTGTTTAGATATTCTCAATCCTTGGACTTTGTTCTTCAAATCTATTCCCCTATAAAAATCTACACATAAAAAACATTCTAAAAAATGTAACTCCCAGAATAGCACAGGAAAAAGATATTGCGTTTAGCTATTCCTTTTCATGCAGTATTATTTTATGTCTTACCACATATAAAAATGATACAAACATCGTCTATATCTAAAACCTGCCATTCTTTGTCGCTAATATTTTAGAAATTCTACTCACAATATGACAGATTTAAAAAGCTTCTCTTTTTCTGGCAAAATATTGGCCTAGCCTGAGATCATATCTAACTCACAAACTAGTAAAGTGAGAAAACATTCTATTCAGGTGAGAACTTCCCATATACTTTCACAAGAAAATGACAATCCTATCCCTAGCTCAAAATGTCAGTTTTACAGGCATTATTAATTCCTATACTTTAGGATTTAACAGATTAGTTTAAAATGAGGATGTGGAAGGGACAGAGACTGACAAACTTGTTACCACACTAATGAAAGACATAAAAAAAAAATAACAAAGGCTGCCATCTAAATATTTTTCACAACAAAAGTAAGATAAAATCTCAAGATAAAGGGATAGGCCTTTATATCAGATAAAGTTATCCTTATGAAAAATTCACATTGTCCTTTTCTCTTCAAGGAGAAAGTCCACTCAAGGCTGGACTTCTGCACATTGTTTAGGAGACCAACACTGAACAGCAGACTGTTGGGCAACCACTGTGGAGTGAGAACTTAGAATGGTTACATTCCAAGCATGTCAGGGATATAATTTCTAAATCACTGCCATCTAAAATTTTATCAAGATCTATGGTGAAACAATATTTAAGAAAGACTGATTTTAAAAACCATAGCGCCCATCTCTTCTTACAGATACTTTAAAAACTTTTCCTGGGACAATCTATAAAGCAAAAACTTCAGTGATTAGGTCACTTCATACTGATTTCCACGTCTCCATCAGGCCAAGGACAGCTTTTACTAAATTTTCTAGGGCATGTTATCATCAGCAAACACTGAATACTGATACTAAAAATAGCTCTAAAATTAATACATTTATCTATTTTAAGGTATATTGAACACTGTTCATTATAAATGAGTTCCTAATGAGACAGTGAGGAAAAATTCTTGTCTGGCCCCAGTATCAGAAGAAGCTGTACTTCAACATTTATTTTCAGACTTTCAATAATTTAAGTCAAATGTTCTCAACGAGGGGCAATTCTACTCCCTAGGGGACATCTGGCAATGTCTGGAACTTTGGTTGTTACAACTGGCATCTAGTGGGTTAAGGCTAAGGATGCTATTACGCTTACTACAATGCACTGGACAGCCCCTCACAACAAAGAACTACCTGGTCCGAAATGTCAATAGTGTCCAGACTGAAAACCCCTAATTTAAGTGGACAAGTTTTTCTTGCACAGACTGTGACTGAGCTCTGAGGCAAATCTGTGGCCCATCGAAGTATCTAGTTACTGTGTGCATATATGATTTATATCTATTAGTTTAATCATAATTTATACTCCGCTCCTCTTTTTCTCTATTCTTTTGCTCCCTTTTTTTTTTTTGTGAGGAAGATTAGCCTTGAGCTAACACCCGTGACCATCTTGCACTACTTTATATGGGACGCCACCACAGCATGGCTTGACAAGTGGCTTCGGTCTGTGCCCAGGATCCAAACCTGCGAACCCCAGGCCGCCTAAGCGGAGTGCGCAAACTTAACTGTTACACTTAAAAGGGCCGGCCCCTTTTGCTCCTATTTTTAATTTGTACTTTCATGTTACATTTTATTTATTCTTTTAAGTTTCTATAAAGGGGACAAGGAGAATAAATTATTGAATTACATTATAGAGATTCAATAGGAATCTATTTATGTTTAACCATACTATTTAATGTTTATCTTTAGAAATGCCATTATAATAGTTTATTCTTTTATTTCAAATTCTGATGAAATACAAAGGCTAAAATGTATAAGATAGCCTACAGCATCATGAAGGCAGGTGGGAAAAGTTCCTTCCAAATTAGATAAGACTTGACCAACAGAAAAATTTTATTGGTCAAGGAACATTAGTTTGGCATTCCCAACAACGTGGACAAGAGCCAGTCAGATGTTTATCTTTTAAGTGATGAGAATACTGAGTAAACTAACACTATAAAATAGATTTAAAGGACTTTAAAAACAAGCCCTTAGAACTAAATATTAGAATTACTTTTAGATAAAGCCTCTGGTCCTACCTAAAATATCTCTGGTTCTACTTACATTTAGGGAAAAGAATATGAAATGAATTTTAGCCTTGGATTTATTCACACTTAATTAACATATACTAAAACTAATTAACTTAAAACATCTTAAAGTGTTCAATATTGTTGGTATTATGTATTTTAAATGAAAACAAGAAACTTTCTGTCAGTAGCTTTATTTCTACTCAGAAAAAAATAATAGCATCATATTCATTAAATAAATTTTTAAAACATCACTGATCTAGGGGCCGGCCCGGTGGCACAAGCGGTTGGGTGTGCGCGCTCCACTGCGGCGGCCCGGGGTTCACCGGTTTGGATCCCGGG